GTCCTTGGCTGCTGTCTTTCCACTGTGTGGATATTATCTGCTCCTAGTCATCAGGATCCCTTGTACTGCTGGTGGTTCTCAGACTCAGCTTCTGCTTTTTACTTTAAGAAATTCTGTATAAGAAGTGATGAGAGGTACATTTTTGCTGGTAATGTTGTTCAGATGGCCATCTGTCTGATTACATGTGACTGTGATTCTGTTTTGCTGTGATTAGTGATTAAAGTGATTGCAGATGTGACTTGAGCAGTATAAGCATATCACTTTCAGTGCATGTAGAAGCAAATCCAGAGCTTGCACTATTCTCTTTCATCCCAGCACCAGTCCAGACATGAAGAATTCTAGTTTCAATGTCCAATAATCATTGCCTCCAACTATAAGCATCTACTAAATCGCACATTATCGATGTAGGGACAGACATTATTTCTCATAGTTTGTGTAGAGGATTTTTATCTTGAGTTTGAAAAATAGGGCAGTTCTTCAAATTGAAGAAAAAAGAAAGAAGAACTTATTCTGTGTCATGCTTTCTAAAATTTTGAAACTTCCTCATCCTACTCCTCTTGTCTGGTAAGAGGTTGTGAAAAAACAGCCTGTTTTGTTGTGGTTTGGTTTGGTTTGGTTTTTTTCCCTAGAAGTTTGAATATTGATATTAATATAAATTGTAAAATGAAAGTATCTAATTCTGGTGTTTTCACTGTGTCAACGGTTTATGGGCTGGTCCGGCCCAGTTCCATGACCAGCAGGGCGGAGGGATCTGCGGATCCACGCCTCTGGGAAAGGGGAAGCAGGGGACCCCAAAATACTTGAAAACAACAGCACTAATCTGAGGTGGAACAAATGATTTTACTAAATATAGTATTAGTAAAATACAATGAGAGAGAGAGAGAGTCTGTTTGAATTGTATAGACCTCACCACAATGCTGGGGTGAGAAGTGCAGTCCAGTTGAGTGACTGAAGTACAGATGGCAAAGAGAAGATGGCGAAGTGCAGGCGGCAAAGCACAGACAGCGAAGAGCAGACAGCGAAGAGCAGGCGAAGAAGAGAAATCAGGTGACCTTGCATGGAGTTATATCCCCTCTTCACCGCAAAGCCTCCTGGGGAAATGCAGTTCTTCTCCGTTGGAAGGACATTCAGCAGATATCAAACCCCACCCCCAGTGCATTACATGATGTTATGGTGTGGAATACTGATGACCAAAAATCATAAAACCATGACATTCCACCCCTTATTCTACATCACTACATCATGCTTAACACGTGGGATTACAGACTGCACTCCCCCAACACTAAATTCCCTTGTGGTAAACACTGAACATCCCTCAAATAACAGATGCCTTCTTCCACATCAGCCCATTTCTTTTTCTCAGGCATCAGATTGTCTTTGAAAGGGTATCTTTCTTTTACAGCTAACAACATCTGCTTCCAGAGGGTGAGGGCCTGGTTCTGGCATGTACTAATACCTCTGTCAATGGCTGAGTCCCCAGAAATGCCACCCAGTTGGCGAGCTTCTCTACTATCTAGCCACACACTGTTGGCCCCATTGTCCCAGCATTGAAGTAACCAAGTAGCAATAGGCTCATTTGGGTGATGTGAGAAGTCTTTTCTCAGACTTCGAATTTCATTCATGTTCAGAGATCGATCAACAAAGGTAATGATATCTTGCTCACCTCTTCCTCTTCCAGGACTTCTTGCCCTCACAGGCGTTGGTGACCGTGGTCTTACTGAGGGCCCCTCCCCTGGACTCAGAGGTGCTTCTCTTGGACCTCGGAGCCACTCCTCTGGACCTTTTTCCTCCTCTTTCTTCTCTTCTGAGTCGAGATTCGTTTCGTTTTCCGTCCTCTTTCAGGGGCAACTGACATCAATTGTGGTGCCTCCTGCGGTTGATCAGGTTGGTCAGTTCCAGTGCTCTCATCCTACAGCTCAGCTTGGAGCCGGTCTCGTTTGATTATGACACTATCTAGCTCAGATTGGAGGGTGTCTTGTTGAGATTGAAGATCGTCGAGTTTGGATTGCAGGGAGTCTCTCTCAATTCGGAGGGCATCTCTCAGATTGGAGGTCTTTTCTCTGGAGCAGGAGACTCTCTTGCTCATTTTGTACTGTTTCCCTGAGACTCTCCCTTTCAATTTCACAAGCTCTCTCCCTCTCCAGAATAGTACTGAATAAGGCCCGATAAGCATTAGCCAGGCCCCAAATCATTTGTGCCTCCTCAGATCTGCCCAAGCCGCAACGTTCCTGCCTCAAATAGCTGTTTAAGCTCCCGGGGTCTTTCAGGTGCTCTGGAGTGAAGTTCCACGACACTGAAGATTTCCATCTATTTAAAGTCTCTCCCAGACCTCTCCACACTCCCCGCCACTCAGTATTCTCTGGTTTTGGGGAGTATTGTATTTAAAATACAATAAATACTAATACTGAGTGAAATGATGAGCAGTACATTCAGGGAGATTAACAATGCGACTAGGTGATCATTCAAGAACTACATAAAAGATTGAAAGGAGAGACTGGTAGCCTGCTTAAAAATCCCCAGTCCTGTAAAATCAGCAGCTGTCTCCAGAACTGTATGCCACACTGTATGAACATACCAGGTCCATATTTCCACCCGTGTTTTCAATGGATTGTATATGCCTATTGCTCCACAGAGCAAAGTGGCAACTTAATTAACGCCCAGTGTATTTTGAGCATTAGGAAAGAAGAAACAGTGTCATGCAGTCTCTTACAAGTCAGTTTCACAACAGAAAGCTTTTTTTTTTCTTTTTTCTTTTTTTTACAGAGACAAGATAGCAAAGTTCAGGGTTTACAAATATCCTAGGATACTGGCAGTCTGCCTGGAGTTTTCAAGGTCATGTTTTCAGAGAGTAGCGGTGAATCAGATAAGCTTTCCCAATGAAGCTCTCTGAGAGCAGAGAGAGATTTGTTCTAAACCGCTAGAAAGCAACTGCTGCCCGCATTCTCCACCAAAATATGTCAACGGTTTTGTCTCGCTCCAATTTATAGGAGGGAGAGGAGGTTCTTTTATTATCTATATACCCGGCGTGAGATTAAGAAGCAACGGTTCAAATGCTGGTCCGACCAGTTTATTACAAATCTTAATTAGGGAAATGGGGAAGGGGAGGACGGACACTATTATGAATTAGGGTAATGGGGAAGGGAAGGAGGGAGATAGAAAAGATAGGAAAGAAGAGGCAAGGAGTCTTTATAGGCAGCAAGAGGGACATAGTCACCACCATGGATCCAGCGAGGTTCATAGTTCAGTCTTTGATCTTCAGTAGCGGTGGGTCGTCGGGCATTGTTGTTCTATTGACAACGAAGGACGACGAGGCACGACAACGACCATGGCGATGATGGCCCCTTTTCAATGCTTTCAAAGTGGTCGAGTCAGCTGTCTTTGGAGTGACAGCTCAAATCCAAAGTGGTTGAGTCAGCTCTCCTTTGAGTGGCAGCTTCTGGATCTGGGATCTCAGCAGAAACTCCTTTGTTCCCATCTTCCGGGCCTTGCCAGCAGATAAGAGGGTGCAGGGATGCCCATCTGCATCCTGTTTTTCACAGAACATGATGGTATCGTTCCCCAATTTTCCCACAACTAGCTGGAGCTGTTTAGTCACAGGCCAGATCTTCCGCCAGTAAACACTCCTGAGCATTCTCATCCGCTCTTCTACAGAGCAAGCAGCTCTGGGGGAAGGGGCTTTCAAATGTTCCCAAAGCGATATCGATTGTCACACAGTTAGCACCCATTAGTTGCCTCCTCAACAAATCATTCAGAGTCTTATCACAAGAAATACCTCAGGAAGCAAGCTATGGGCCAAAAAACAAAGGATTCTCACAGGTTTACGGGCTGGTTCGGCCCGGTTCCGTGACCAGCGGGGCGGAGGGATCTGCGGATCCGCGCCTCCAGAAAAGGGAAACAGGGGACCCCAAAATAATTGAAAACAGCAGCAATAATCTGAGGTGGAACAAACTAATTTACTAAACATAGTATTAGCAAAGTACAGTCAGAGAGAGAGTGTGCCTGAATGGTAGATAGGCCTCACCACAATGCTGAGGTGAGAAGTGCAGTCCAGTTAAGCGGATGAAGAAAAGCAGATGGCGAAGCACAGACGGCGAAGAGCAGATGGAGAAGAAGGAATCAGGTGACCTTGCACAGAGTTATATCTCCTCGCTGACCTCAAAGCCTCCTGGGGAAACATAGTTCTTCTCCGTTGGACAAACATTCGGAACTCGAGCATCAGAAGCCAAACCCCCCAGTACATTACATGATGTTATGGTGTAGAATACTGATAACCAAAAATCATAAAACCATGACAGTCTGTTTGCATTCACAGAAATATTGTAGCAAGAGTAACAACCCAAAAAGCCCTGTGCTACTTCATCACTTTGCTTTTGAGGACCATCTGTCAAACCATAAGATAGAAGACTTTGGAAGGTTACAGCCACCGCCACATCACACCTGGTGAATTTTCTTGAAATAGTCTCTATGAAAATCCAGTTGGGCTGTGAGTGCACACCCTGGGTTTTGTGGTTAACCTACGTGCCATGATAATGCCCCTAAGAAACAGTGCTGTGTAGATAACAGCATTCAGATTCTATTCAGAATGAATTCATCACACTGGCACAACGAAATAGCTTAGAAGGTTCCTGGTTCATGTGAGAGCAGATAAATTTGAACCAAAAATCCTGGGTAAATTGTTGTGGCAGAAAGATGACAGTGAACACAACTGAGAGTGGTTTTCTCACGTTTTGTTAATACTGATGCCTCATGCAAAAGCTTCCCCGAGAAGAATTTGAAACTTAAGCCACTGCTAGTTATAAAGGACAAATATAAGCTATTGTCTTGGAGAAAAGGACATTTCAGTGCTGTTCTGGTGCTGATCTCAACTGTGGTGAGTTTTTACTTGACTGTTACACAGTGCAGTGAGTTCATGCACTTCTATGCTTCCTTTAACTGCTTCAAAATTGCTAACAGAAAGTGAAACAGAATAAGAGCAGAATAAGAAAGTGAAAGCTCTGTGAAAGTCTTTAAAAGCTGTGGGCTTTGTGGAACTACGTTTTTTTCTTTTCTTTTACTGGCTGCGCTGCCCTCAAAACAGAGTGAGGCCACTGTAGCCTTCAGCAGAAAATGGAAAAACTGCGCACAGCAATGAATTTTTGTATCCACTACCAAAAGACTCTGGGTTACAGCATCGTGTCACTGCTGACAATTGCCAGCGAGCAAATCTTTTCCTTGGTGGCCTTCAGGTGTCCCTGCAACTCTTTGAATAGTCTGTATGGCTGTGTCTTCCTTCTAGCGCCAGCCATCCTTCTCTTTCTGCTTGGCTGCATGGTGAATGTCAGGACTTGTCTCCTGCTTAGATACAGCTGCCCTCAGGAGAAGAAACACTGCTGTGGATCTTGGAGAAAAGGTCACTTCTACCTGAAAGTGCTGGCACCAGTGACAGCCAGCATCTTGGTGGCCCCCCTCACCTGGATTGCAGTGGCCCTGCTCAGTGCAAACTTCTACGAGTGCGCAGCCAGCGGGAGCAGCTTCATCAGGAACCAGATGTGCAGGGATATGGACAAGCCTGAAGCATGCTGGGAGCTGCTGGAGAAAATACCCTGTGATGAGAACGCTGTCAGAGGTCTGAATAAGCTGAATTTAACTTCTAAAGGTAAACTTGTCAGCTTTCAAGCACAGTCTCAGGTAAGACCTCTATGCTCTGCTCTTCCCCCAAGGATTCCTGCCTTGCCTGCTTCACACACACTCGTACCTGCTAGCAAAAGCACATGGTTAGCAAAAAATTCTTTGGTCAAAAAACTAACATAGAAAGGCAAAAAGAGGCTAGTTTGTGCTAGCTTCTCTTTTTGGTGTTTGCATAGTAATCTCTTGGCACTGGCAATGGCAAAGCATTTGTCAGTGCTGGGCAGTAGACCAGCCTAGATATCAGCACTTCCACTGCAGCTTTTCTTCTTGTTCAGATTATGCCTGGTGCAAGCTTTTGTCTGTTACCCTTCCAAAAATCTCAGACTTATGTAAATATGCGTTAGTTGAGAGGAAGCTGAAGTCATTAGCACAGGGGAAGCCAACATCTCACTGCAAAAAGGTGAGCTAACAAGTGAAACAAAGAAGGACAAATTGTTTGATCATGAACCTAAAAGCTTGATTCTATTATTAATTTCACACTAATAATGTAGGTGAACAGTTAGAATATATGTGCATCTTGTTACAGTCTCCTTCTTGTGCTGAAGGCAAGCTGCGTAATAAAAAATAGCTCTTCTGAGTAGATTTTTTTCCATTTGGAGTGAAACAAAACCAAAGTGATTTGGCAGCACTCCAGTTTTGTTTCTGTGCTTGTTCCTCTTGACTCCAGAAGAAAGTTAATTTATTATCAGTTCTTCAGGAAAATCATTAATACTGATTAATGTAGTTAAGTTTGCAGGAGATAATAATTACACACACAAAGTGTTTAAATTTGTTAGATATTTAGCATATGGCTTCTTCAAGAAAAAGCTGAAAAAGTGCAGAAAGGAGCAAAATTGAGGAAGATAGATTGTTATTGATTTTTCAGTGAAATCGGAAAGAAACAGACTGATCTAACATAAATGGAAGACATATGAGATCATATACTTCATTTCTTGCATCTGACCTACTTTCAGCAAAATTAGGAGCCAAAAAGTGGTGTGGATTCTATACAAAATAGGAAAGATTTCTTATTTGATAGCCAAATCCTTGTTCTGCCTATGAAGCATTGCTTCCATGTCCGATTCAATGTTTTGTTCTATACTCTCGCACAGGGCCATGTGAAAACACTAGTAACACATTTATTTATTTTTCAAGATTCTAGGATGGTTGCTGATAGTCATCGTCATTACTGTGGCAGTCATTTTAAAATGTATCAGCCGCTGTTGCTCCCCAGGTAGCTATTTTCAGCTAAAGTTCTGGAAAATTTATTCGGAAAAGGAACAAGAGCACTTCGAAACCAAGGCTAAAGAACATGCAGCTCAGCTGGCCGAAAGAAACATGAATTACATTTTTGAAGCCACCAACCCACCGCCATCTCAGACTCCCAGCAATGAAGACTGACAGAAGATTTCACTCCCATATGCATTCAGTAAGAATGATCAGTATTACAGCATGATACACAAATACATTAATGCAAACAGAGGCAAAATCAGTACACTCAGTGAAGGAGATCAAATTTCCTATGGTTTAGGGTTTGTAGACGAAGCACGTAAATGAGCAAGGGTTTTAGTAAAAAAAAAAAACAGTTTGTAACACTGGTAATCTTTTAACCTTACTGATCTAAAACAAGCTTTATTCTGTGCTCTTACTGAAATCAATGAGAATTGTATGTTAAAGGCTGGTAGTGTAAACCCCGGGAGACTTTTTAAAAATAAACTTCATAATTTTGCTTAAGTACATTTAAATAAGCGTATGGTTCACGATGGGATTATTTCTTTTTTGTGTCAATGATCATTAAGAAAAAGTCATATGTGAAACAGTAAGCATCCACAGCAAAGATGTCAGCCAGTACTATGTGATTACATACAATATGTAATAACATTTAACTGACTGGTATCATTTTAACTGAATAAACGTTTAACTGATTGGTATCATTTCACCTTCATGTACTCAAAAGGTATCCCAAACCTTGCAACAACTGTGTTTCCCAGGGTAGTTTGGAGTTGGGTCATGACAGTAACAAGTGTTCAATTTGTTATTTGTACCTCCAGGAAGCACAATTATGCTTAAAATGTTTCAGTTCACCTCTCCTATTAAAGAACTCAATTGTTCACTGATATCTAGGGGATAATAAATCTGCTCTGGAGTATTGTAAATTGGAAGGTAACAATGGCCCTGAAATTAGCAGCAAGATGTTTCTTGACTCGGTGGAGCCAGGCTTTGCCATAGAGACGCAGTAAAATTGTTCAGGGTAAACTGAAAGCATCTGGAGAAAGGTTATGCCTTTTTTCTACCCCGATGAGAAAGTCCAGTGAAAATGCTGTCTGGAATTGTGTTCATCCTCTCAGATGTACCAGTTGGGCTTTTGCCATTTTCTACTCCCAAACACATCTGTAGGATGATGCCACCCTCCTCTTCAGCAGCAACCTTCAGAACTTCCCCACATCTAAAAGAGAGATGTCTAAAAGCTGTTGCCGTGAGATTGTACCTGTCTGTCAATCAAAGGAAAATCTGACACTGATATCTCTGAGTTCACTTGAGCACTTGACACTCACACAAGGCACTCCAGCTCAGCTGGAACACTTCTAAACAACCTTCACTACCAATGCAGCCTGGAGGATTAAAGGATTGAGCCAAAAATACCTGGGAGTACTGGTGGATGGCAAGCTGGACATGAACCAGGAATGTGCCCTCACAGCCCAGAAGGCCAATTGTATCCCAGGCTGCATCCGTGGCCAGCAGGTCCTGCTCCTCTACTCTGTGCTGGTGAGGCCCCACCTGGAGTACTGCATCCAGATGTGGGGTCCTCAGTACAGGAGAGATACAGACATGTTGGAGCGCATCCAGAAGAGGGCCACAAAAATGGTCCAAGGGATGGAACACCTTTCCTATGAGGACAGGCTGAGAGAGCTGGGGCTGTTTAGCCTGGAGAAGAGAAGGCTGTGAAGTGACCTGATAGTGGCCTTTCAGTATCTAAAGAGGAGATACAGGAAAGAAGGGGACAGACTCTTTAGCAGAGTCTGTGGTGACAGAACAAGGGGAAATGGCTTCAAGCATAAAGAGGGTAGATTTAGGTTGGATATAAGGAAAAGATCTTTTACTTTTACTTTAGGTGAGGGTGGTGAGGCACTGGAACAGGTTGCCCAGAGATGTGGTTGATGTCCCATCCCTGGTGACTTTCAAGTAGAGGCTAGATCAGACCCTGGGCAACCTGATCTAGCTGTGGTGTCCTTGTTCATTGCTGCGGATTTGTGACCTTGAAAGGTTCTTTCCAACTCTAAGGATTCTATGATTCTATGGTTCTGTGATTCAATGAAAGGCAGAAGGATGTCCAGTGTAAAGGACAGTGAGTGAGTGGCAAACCATTGCATACCAAAGCAGACACCTCACAGTGAGAAACTGCATATTGTAGGATTTATTATTCTTAACTACAATCAGACAGGGAAACAAAGCATATCTTACCAATCATGCTTTTAAACTTCACTTCCCCTCTCCCCCCCCAAAAAGAAGGAAAAATAAAGTCATGTTCACCTGAAAACACTGAAAACATTAGGTGTCTGAATGAATATTTTGCACCCAGCATGCTCTGAATACTGAAATAAAGCATCCATTTTGTTCAAGAGTATGGTTATGTGAAAAGCAAGAGCAAAGACATGTTGATCTCTTGTACTCATACCTGTGCCATGAGGATTAAGATTTTTACTCTGACCTCAGCTCTGCTTTCTAGATTTCTTCACCCTACCAACATCTGAGTGGTGCAGATGAATCAAGGAAACATTTCTACCCTGCATTTCATCTTCAGAAACAAAAGGTCTAGAACATCACATAACAAAGGTTTATCTCAATATTTCTTTCATTTATTTCTTTTTTGCTTTCTTGTCTTCAGCCTTCCTTAAAAACGTAATTCCTATTTCTGTCACAGCATCACCCTTCAGCTTGTCTTGCAGAAAGGTCACTTCTGCTGCCAAGTGAACCTAGGAAGAAGCAAAGAAGCACTCAGTTCATCTCCTTCCTCTGGTTAACAGTATTCTTATCTCTCTCTTACCACAAGGGGACCCCCTTTTGCAAGTTTTGTAAAAAACAGATTTCCAAATTTTAAAAAATATATTTCCAAACCAAATTAATAGAAAGAAAGCCTACATACTAGAAATAGCATATGTTAATCATCAGTCTAGTGCTTTGCTTTGTTCCGAGAACTGAAGATGTGTACTTGATTTTGTGATCACAAAATTTCCTGATCACATACTTAAGTTATTAACACTCTTGTTAATTGGTCAGATATCATATATGTATCACACGTTATGATTCTGAGACTGATTTATAGAAATAATACTTACACAACTTTTACTTTCTTGAAACGTAAGACATATGACAAATCAGATACTCATTAAAAAAACAATGCAGCCCAAATGTTATCTTCCAGAAAATGAGACAGAAGCTCTACAGCTCAGTGACATTCAGATTATGGCCTTTGCGTGTTCTTTTGTAAAAGCCTTAAATGATTTGGAATGTCATCCAGTATAGTTCTGATTATTTGGTTTTTAAGTTCTCTGCATCCACATTCTCTCTTTCGCATGATGCTGCAGTTGTATTGCTGTGACATGAGAAAATTTTATTGATCCTCGTACATCAAGGATGGAAAGAATCAGGGATGCTTTTAACAGTAAAATCTATGCAGAAAAACCGAAATAGGATTGAGGAGCAGATGACAAGCCCAGAACAGGACCTTGGCTCCCCCTGTTCTTTGTCAGCTTGGTCCTTTTCCCACAAGCCCTCAAAGGAGCCCAGCTGAGACTGTGCTTAGCGAGCCAGCCTGTGTGCTTCTTTATCTCAGGATCAGCCTGACCCTTTCAATTACAGTTTAGACATTAAATCTGAAAGAAATTTAATACTAGTAAGCTTCCTTGAGCAAGATGTGTAGCATTCCTGCACCTCTCCACATGAACAAAAAATGGAGAAAATGGATGTGTGCTTCCTTACCATTTCCAAGGCACCTCGAATCACTCCACAGAGGAGGTTGCAATAGCAAAGGGATGCTCGTTCCACTGGCAGCTCCTCCACAAAGTCCACTAATGGGTTTTTGTCCAGGATTAAGGAGAATTCATTTCCTGCAGCACTACTGCAGTTCACACTGGGGGTGACCCCCAAGTACATTTTGAAAGCCACCTGCAAAAGGAGGATAGTCAGCCACTTGAATCTGATGGGCACAAACCAGAGCAGAAACTTTAGGATGCAACATCCTACATACTAGTTTTGCTCCAGGAAAGTAGGGGTAAGGAACAAGTAGTCTTGAGATCATACTAGATTTGTCTCTTTTGTGTTCCATTGTATTCACAAATTTGGAGCTATGTGATACTCCAGAGAAGTACACTGTAAGGCTGCTTGTTCTCTCTTTGATGTTCCTGCATTTACAGCCCCATAAAAAAACAGTTGTATTGTAATCCCTCATGCTTTCGCTCAGTGTCGTTATGCTCTTCTGGGGCCATTAGCTCTATACTGGCCTCTGTGTTGCCCTACATTGCCAGCAACTTTGATAATCGCTGCTCAGGAACTCCTGCAACTTGTGAGTGAGTTTACTCAGTTCTCCATATGCAGCCAAAACAAACAAACAAATAAATAAATAAACAAAGCTACAACTGAAACAAAAGAAGAAAGAGTAAAACTAGTAGGATGTATTTGATAACAGGGTGGGGTTTGCTTCTCTGCCTCTACTGGTTAGTATTACTTTAAATATGCAGCATCTGCTCTGCTGGTGGAGAGGTCCCATATGCATGCATTTTTAGTGAGATCACTGTGCGAACCAGGCGGTGCTGAGGCACCAGGTTCACAGCAGTTGTTCTGTCTGTGGAGAGCTCTCCCGTAACACACAGCCACAAGCTGCTCCAGTTGAGGATAAGTGTTGTTGTTTTTTTTTTTTTTTACCTCTTTGGTGAGTATCGGACATGGAAGGTTTCCGAACAATCCTGAAATTCTTTATAAACCGAAGAACTGCTATTGGCTACAGCTTTATGGCTCTGCTGACACTGGGAAGTGAACGTGCATTTTCTCTTGTTGCTTTCAGATGCCCCTGCAGCAATGAAAACTTCAAGTATGGTTTGGTTTTTCTTTTCTCCCCAGCTTTTGTTTTACTTGTTTTTGGATATTTCCTGAATAATAAGACCTGGAAGCTCTTCACAGGCTGCTGGGTGAACCCCAGAAAAATATTCCCCAAAGGGAATATCTGCCATTTCTTCATTATCTTTGGACAAATCACATTAAATGCCCTGGTAGCCCCAGTGATGTGGCTTTCTGTGGCTTTGCTCAACGGGACTTTTTATGAATGTGCCATGAGTGGCTTGAGAAATCCTGCCTACTTAGATGCAATTTGCCACAACAAATCTGTGAAGTGCTTTGAGGAGCTGCACAAGGTGTCCTGTGGCAAAAGCACCATGCCCTTTTCAGAGAGTGAGGAACTCAAGCTAACACTGCAGGCACACTCCCAGGTAAGAAAAACAAGTGGGAGGATATTAAAGTTTGTAATACTGCTGTGAATCATCTATGGAAGGTGCTAAAATAAAACCATTGGCTTAACATAAAGTTTTCTTATGATGCAGCCCTGCCAAATTCAGTAATTGGTATTATTTTAATTCAGTTTGAATGATGACCTGTCTCAAGGTTGGGGGAGGATTCCACTGTAGTAAGGATTAGTAAAGTCAGATAGTTTAAAGCTGTCTTTCTGAAAGAAGAGAGCTCTGAAGAAAAAAAACCAGCACTGGTCTTTGGTTTAGGAAACCAAATCAACAGATGTCACCCTATCTGATGGGTTATTTACACTGCAAATCCATATAACAATCATCTCCTATTTTTATATCATTATATATACCGTAAGGAAATCTAGATCGTTAGCAGTACAAAAATACCAAAAAATTAGATTTGTGACTCACTGTCTAGATAACTTGTTTCTGTTTGCATTTCTCAAGTTTATGATGCCAGATGAAAGCATCTTTTTGTACTGCTTGGAAGAAGAAAGAAACACTAAAATAAAACCAGAGAATGCAAGGCTGAGATTACATTCTGCTATACTTGTGCATTACAGTTGTTTTCATTGTCTTGTAATGTAAAGAAACTTAGAGATGAAAAGCCAAAATGAAGGAAAGGGAAAAAAGTGCTATAGAAAATGATGGAAAGACGATAGTCAGCATATGTCAGGAAGCATTCTGTGGAGCCTGTAAGTCTTTGTTAGATGACTGTATTCATCTGGAACTGTTTCCTACCCAAGTGCTGTTTTTATTTTCATTTCCTCAGGCAAATAGGACCAGAATGCAGGCAAAGACTACAGTACAGGAAAAGCAATTTAACTGAGAGTTCTAGAAAGAAAAAACAAATGGGTCTTAAGACTTGAAGTTGTATGCACCACAGGAAACAGTGAAAGACCAATGACTCAGGGTATAACATGGGAACAGATAGGTTCATTCTCCAAATTGCAAAAGAGTGAAGGGCTTCTGAAAAACAATATTTTAAAAACATATGGACAAACATTCTTAGTGTTTTGACTTTAACCTGAGGTCTTTTTCTTTTGTTTTCCCAGATTTTAGGTTGGTGTGTGATAGTGGCTATGGCTCTTTTCTCCCTGCTAACCACTTGCTGTGCCAGCTGCCAGTTGAAAATCAGCCATCTCCAGCTGATGTTCTGGAAGGTGTATGCTGAGAAGGAGAAGGAGCAACTGGAGCAGACCTTCCAGCTGTATGCCACCAAGCTGAGCGAGCGAAACCTGAAGTGTTTCTTTGAGAAAAGAAAGCCAGAAGTTATGCCCCTGCCAGCTTTTCAGGCATGGGAAGATGCTTCCCAGCTCTACACTTTCAGCAGTAGCAAACAGCATTATAGCACAATTCACAGGCTAGTTGAAGAAGGGCAGAAAGAAGTCAGTGAGGAAAGAGAGACAACATATGACCTCTTAGACAGAAGGGAAATACCATAGATCACATATAACTTCAGCCTTTCTCTGCTGTGCTAATATAGCATACTTCTAGCTTCTTTTATCTGTATTTTTTTTCACAGTGGCCCTTTTATTCATGATCACATTCCCTCCCAGTTTCATACTTGCATTTTTTTGTTTTATGAAATGAAATTACTTTTCTACAACAGTGAAAAGACTGCAGTATTCACTAGTACTTCAGCCTCGTGCCATGCTGATATCATTGGCTTTGTATCAAGTAACAACAGCAAGAAGGATTGCCTAATGACTTTTGAGAGTGTCTGGACATATCCTATGTAAAAGGTGCTATAGCACACCTGTTCTATATAAATCAAAAGGGTATTATAAAGCAATGCAATTTGAAATGGTTGTGTAATATAATAGAAGTGTGTTGCTTTCTGACAGTCCACTGAAAGTAAAAGTTTTGCTACCAGATCATCTCCAGTTACAGGAGGTTTTGAGGCACAGAGACATTTGGCTACTTGGGGCATCTCAGTATCTTTGGTCTCCTGTTACACATAGAACACCACAGATGGTCTCCTTGATAACTGGTCCTCCTTATCCCTGGGATGTCTGTGGGGAACATAGAGTAGTGATTTCACTTAACAGTGAGATGCCAGGTAATTACTGGGACAAATCTTACAGTCAAAATTTTAGGTACCAATAATTTTGAAGGGCGTTTCTGATGCTGCATAGAACCATCAATGAATACTAGACCTGCAGCCAGCATGTGGCAGAGGGCTTAGAAGAAAGTTCCATGTTTTAAGATGAGAAAATACTTTTGCAGAGGGCTAATTTTTATATTTTTTTGACATCATAGGAAATGTAGAATGTATCTGGAGCCAGAGATGCAAGCAGGCTAGGCAGGTGGGGCACAGTCCCTGCTGTGGATAAGGCCTCTCACTCCAAAGACTTTTGCTTCATCTCACATATGTATAATTGTACAACACGTACAACATAGGGTGTCTGAGCCTTTGCAGATGCTATATAAAGGAGGCATCACTTTTCTGCCAAGTTCCTCTCCCTGGAATGAAAGCCTGGTGGGCTTTTATGCACAATTTTACTGCCAGTCTCTCTGAGTCTGCAAAGAATCATAGTTTTGGCTCTTAATCAGGCTCTTATCAACAAAACAATATATACCACCCAGCTCTTCACATACACACTGTGTTTCTTAAGAAGAAAACAAAAATCTACCTGCATTTACAGACCATTACTTTTTTAATGTAGATAATTCCACTATCTGCTTAGATTTTTTTCTGCATATTCAGAAGATCTTGTGATCGTTGAGAAAAAGTTTTACTGCTTTTTTTTTTATCCCAGCTTCTACACTTTGCAGCAGACTTAGACCGTGTTACTCACCTCAGTGTATGTGCTACAGCTAAAAGCCTAGAGGCAAGCCTGCCAAAATGAAAGTCACAATAGCAGGCATGTCTGGCAAGAGTAAGACAGACCTGCAGCTTATCACAGAATCACAGCCTTTCACTTCAGTAAATTAATGGCAGGAAACAACCAGAGTATGAACGAAGCTCTGAGTATGTAATGGAATGTGTGATTACAGCAGACAGGAAGGATGCTGTTTGTACAAGCCCATATCGTAGGTCTTCTGAGTTTTCTCACTCAGAAAACTGTTCACAAACTAAGCTTTATTTGTGTAATGGAAGGGGGTTGGAACTAGATGATCTTTAAGATCCCTTCTAACGTAAGCTATTCTATGATTCTATGATTCCCTTTGATTTGTTCTCTTTACTTATTTTCTTCTGACATTCATGCAATCAGTCTCCTACTGATCCTGTAGGATTTATATCCTGCAGAAGATGAAGGTCTTTATTATACGCAGTTTAAAAGGAGAGACAAAACTTCTTTCAGTCCTTCCAAAAGAATCAAATGCAGGCTTCTACTTCATGCCTACTGAATGAAAAATTATTTCTACTGTTCTGCTAAATTTCACTTCCCAAAGCTGTCTGTTCACCTCACCAACACCACAGAAACCCAGAGCAAGCAAGGAAGAAGCGGGGAGTGCACTAAGTAGATTAACGAACTGATATGTGAATATAAGAAACAAGCTGGGTTGACATAACAATGAGTTCTCTACTGTTCAGTAAGATCTGGGACACAAAATTTAAAGCATGTGCAGAAGAGGAGGGAAAGGTAAGAGGACCAAGTAGTCCCACCTCCAGTTTGGACAATCTTTTCTTCCACAGGAGGTGGAAGCGGAGCACTTTGCTGCATGCTCATAGGTGATTGGTATTAAGAGTGTGAGGAGATGCTGGCTGCAGCTCTCAGTCCTCTATCCTGGTCTGCTGAGAACCGGCTGCACTTAACAGCCCTATGGCATGAAAGATCTGGTGGTTTTGGCCAGCCAGCTGCAGGGGGCTGCTTCTTCTGCATTCCCTTTTTTCTCTGTGCCTCATAGCATGGTCTCTACCTTGGAAGTATATCTGCTGAATCCTCAGTACTACAACATATGCCTGGTTGGAGCCTCAGTACCTCACTGAACTTTGTTTCCAGGGCTGTGTTATTCTAGCTCTGCTGTATTTCCAAAATGTCTCTGATTTAATGCAATTGCCATGTGGTTCTTGGAATACTTCTATCAAAACAGACAAAAATAAAATACAGTTTGACCTATTTTTCCAGCTAGAATCTGATTTTGGCAAATTTAACTCCATTCCTAAATCAGCTATTACAAAAAGCTGTTTTATATCAACACTGTCACCGAATTAAAGTTCAGCAGCCACCACAGAAGATCATTTTCAATATTATCCAAAAAAGTGACAAAAAAAAAAAAAAAAAAAAAAAAAGACATTTTCTCTCAGAAAACTTAGATTTTGCATTAAGTCTGATGCCTGTCAAATGAGTCCACAAATAAACAGACAGCATCTGGTCTTTTTCTATTCCAAATTCTGTACCTCATTTTACTCACTTCTTCCCATCAGTGAGAACCCACTTTTCTCAATTCATTTGTCTTACCTCTTTTTCTGCTATCTGCTGCTCAAATTCTAAGTCTTGCTTACACCAGAAGAACAAGAACAAGACTAGTTGAATGTGCTAGGCCCTCACATGCTTTTGATTTAGTTTCACCTGGGCTTTGAGTTAAGGTATGACAAATCTTTCAAAATTCTATTGTTATAATTTCTGGTATAAAAGACAACTTACATGGAAACTGTGCAAATCCAGTGGCTGGTTTGCAGTGCAATAGAGCACAAAATTAAGGCAAAATTGAAAACTATATAGTGCAAATTTTTTAAATGTCTCAGTAGTACAAGTAATTTATGTGCATACATAAGTAATTCAAGAAATATATAGGAAATTAGGTGGGGTTTTTTGTTTATTTTGTTCTTTGTTTTTGGTGGGTTTTTTTGTAGCCAGGCTCTGACTGGAGAGAAGTTCCTTTAAAACTACCATGTGCAGCTTCCCTTGTGGTAGAACAAAGGCCTCTCAGTCTTTCTTTGGGACTCCAAAATTGAGCGAAGTGAAATAAATAAACCATTTCAAGAGCTACATTTATAAATTTGCCTCATTGTCATCTGTATGAAATGAAATAAAATTAAAAAGAATATATGTTTAGATGAATATATCGGCTCGTCATCTATGAGCCTATATGTTCATCATCACTGAACCCATATGAAGAAAAACAAGCAGAACTGTCTTTTGAAAATGTGACTCTTTGGGCTTATATGTACTTAACATTAAACAAGGAATTTATGCAGTCAGCATTTAAAGTGTACCCCAACCTTTTTTCAGGTTCTCATACTGCAGCCCATCTTTCTTCAGCAGCATGGCTAAAGCTCAGTCAAATTTTGATAGTGCACAGAAGCAGTGTAGAGCTATGAAAAGCAGTTAGGAGGCCACTAACTTCCCTACTCCTAATACTATTGGAGACTCCTCCCTACAACTCTACAAAGCCTTGTATGCATAAGTAGTGTTGCGAAGTAAGTGATAACACACTCTTAAAAACCAAAACCATAAAATCAGATGACATATCAAAAAGATTAATCAAGAACATTAATTGATCTACTTAGAAGGGAAAAGACAACCAAAGTAATTTTTGCTGGCATAGTGCAAAGTGCAAGGTATTGCACTTGGATTGCAACTTGGATCCTTGTTATGTGTGCAGACTGTGAGATCTCATTGAGAGCAGGACTTGGGGATCCTGATAGATGAAAAGCTGGACATAAGTCATTAGTATGCCCTTGAAAACTGAAAAAAGCAATGGTATCTTGTGCTGAGGAGACTTCATTGAGGCCTTCCGGTACTTAAAGTGAGCTTATAATCAGGAGGGAGACTGACTTTTTACCATATATAAAAGTGACGGGAGAAGGGGGAATGTCTTTAAACTAAAAGAGAGAAGATTTAGGTTAAACGTTATAAAGAAATTTTTTTATTCAGAGATTGGTGAGGTACTGGCACAGGTTGCCCAGAGAAGCTGTGGATGCTCTGTCCCTGGAGGTGTTCAAGACCAGGTTGGATGGGGGCCTGGGCAGCCTGATCTGGTGGCTGGCAGCCATGCCCATGGCAATGGGGTTGCAGGGGACTAAAACTACATGATCTTTCATAACTCTTTCAATCCAAGTCATTCTGCTATTCATTTGCCAATATAGAGTGGTCTTGTGCAGCACGACTCCAGTGGGAAAGGGAATCTCATCTATTTCTCTACAGTTCTGGCTTTGGAGGATGACATGGTTGGAGTCACAGCCCTGGTGGCCCTGTGCCATAGGAGGTGACATAATTCCTAGATCAGATCTGAACATCGAGTTCTTTACTCTTTACATCTTTTTTCAAAGACATCAGTGATGCTAGAGTTCTGAGAAAGGATGAGGCAAACTTTATATGATTATAGAGAAAAATTATCATCCCTGTTTCAAAAGTTACCCTCAGTTATACTTAGACACAAATTCTGAATCCAGTGTTAGATGTTACATCTTCAGCTGAGCTTTGCTCTTAGTATTATTCCTCAATTCCAATTTGCCAGTGAGCATAAAGACTGGCTTTAGGTGGCCTGTTTGGTTTATGCAAAGTCACAGCATCAATACAAGGAGCCAATGAGGACCATGTGAATTCATGTGGAAAGACTTAGTTTGGTTGACTGCCAACCCATGTTGGCCTTCCTCCAGTCCTGCATAAAATAACACTAAATCCCAGATTCTGCAGTCTGAATCACTGTACAAAGCTTCAAGCCCCTAGTCACAGAAAATGAATGCTTTAGGTGTACCTTTCCTTCACTATTTATTGACTAGTATGGCAGGCTGGCTTTGTATTCCTCACTGTATGCTTTCTCTTTTGTTTCATCTCTTGGAAACTTTATGCAGTGAATACCCATGATGTGACCTTACAGACTTCTTTTTTCTTCAAAGGACTGCAGGATAGCAGCTATATTTACAAAAGTTTGGTTTTAAGTACTTTAACTGCTTAACCTTACTTTAACCTTTTAACTGTTTTTACCCTACACATTCATTCTCAAGAATTAGTGGAGTTAAATATTTCAGCATTTTTTTCCTTGCCATTACTGAAGACTTAAAGAGAACATGTAAAAAGCTATGCAATTTTGAACCAGCAACTTTAACAGTTATTTTCTGGATCACTTGCAAGTGTTTTGCTGGTATGAGTGTCAGACAAATGCACTTGATTGTTGGTTCAAAAATGTTTTGCCAAATAAATGTGTATTTTCCATCTCCTCTTTTGCCTCAGAAGGGATATACTCTTTCCACAGAACTCCTCTTTCAGTTTGCTAAAAATAAATTTTCAGGAGACTTTGAGCTTTAAAGTTTGTTCCAATCTTTCTGAGCAAAATAAGCATCCTTTGAAGTACCAAAAGGGTAACAGTGTATTTTTCCTTAATTTCTCACCATATTTTGTTTCCGAATCTCCTGTACTGGACAATGATGATTCAGTTATGCTACAGCAATTTACAAAAGGAAGCAACAAGGAAATGCAAGAATCAGCAAACCAGATATCTACCATGTATATGAACACGCAGAGGCAACAAAGAACATGCTCCAGATAAAGAAAGAAATAAAAGTGAACAAAAATGTGATTTTGCAGGCTGGCATCATTCTTCTAATGACAGCATGTTTTGGCATTATGATTGTAATGTTGCTTGCCCTACATTTTTCATTCAACCTCCAATGAATCCTTTACTCTGGCTCAGCTTTGCCTAGAAATGACCTTTGTTGTATATCATCTTCATTTGAGACTCCAAGACACACTTTACTTCAGGACAAAATTTAGTGTCCCCTAAATTCCACTAGGTAACTGGCTTTTAGTAATGTCACCTGCTTTTGCTTTAAACTTTGGCACATCTGGTGTGTGTGTATGTTATGCATGTGTGCATGTACAGTGAACTAATTTTACAGTCGTATTAGAACAGCAGAGGTGTCCTATATTTCTGTCATAGCTGTCAGTTCCCATAAAACAAGCATTCTGGAATGATAATACAAATTCTCTCCCTCCATTACAGAGGTAACTTAGGTATTTCTGACATGTTGTGTCATGGTTTCACACGAATGTGAGCAGAATCACATACCACCGAGTACTATCCAAATGCACTTTGATATAAGAAATGTCTAAGCTACTAGCATGCACATGTTCACTGTGTAGACAGCCTGGTGTTTCACAGCTCTGCATTCAACATCACATTTAGCTGACGGTAACATTCAATTATTCTCAACAAGTATGTCAGACATACTTCCATCTCCCAAAACAAGTCAGTGGAAATGAATCTCAGTTCAATTAGTTCATGCTCTCCCCACTTCAGCAAATGACCATTGAGCTAACAGTTCTTCATTATAAAGGGGGATTAATTTTTCTGACTGGGAAAGCTCAGGCATATCTTCACTGACAACACTGAAAATCATTAAAGGCAAAAGGAACCATGACCAGTGATCTGAGCATGTTTAGGTCTGAGCCAACTCCATTTCTGTGAACTACCACCTCCTTTGCAGTGACTCTGCATTATAGGAGGGCAAGACATCCTACGGGTTTCTCTTCAAGCTTCCCCAGGACTTACCCTAGTGTCAAAGCTGTATCTTAAGAAACCTCCCTATTACTACGCAGTTTTCTCCTATATCTTCTTGTCTGCCAGTAGTGTGAAAGGTTACTCAATAAGAGGGAAATTTCCATCAGAAGGTAGAAGTACCTATACTGGTGTGTTTGTTTGCTTGTTTTATCATTAGATCTGTGACTCTCCTGCCGTTGAGTCTTTATTTTGCAGAAAATTCATCAGCTTCTTCATAATATTACCATTCTACGGTTAAAAAACATCTGAGCAAACTATGGATATGCTGAGTGGTTCATGTGGCAAGAATAAGAATACCAAATTTTAAGAAGTGTTATGAGTTGATTGACCCATATAAGTTCCTAGAAAATAAAAATTGAGGGAAATATACAGTTTGAAGCTAGTAAAACTGATTTTTTTGTTGTTGTTCATCAGATTCTGTGGAAAGAGCAGAAGAAATCAGCTTAAGCAGCAGCAAACAAAAGAAAACATTACACTGTTCTAATGGAAAACACCTTATAGGCTAGTAGAAAAGATTGGATTCATAGAAGGACTTAATATTAGCTTCTAAACTTATATAAGCTTATATTAAGCTATTGCTTAATGAATGACTTTAAGGTCAGTTAAGGTTAGGGATCAGCAACCTCTCACAGCTTGTATCCCACAGTCTCTGATACCAAAGACAATTTAGTTGGCATGTAAAGAACAGAAAGGATAGGCTTCCTTTGTGTAAAACTTCGTAGCAGACAAGATAAGTGTGCTTAAAAAAGAAAAGATAAGAGAGTCTGGGCAAGGACAGGATAAAAGGGTTTAGAGAGTCTGTTATGCATGCTACAGAATAATGTGGGTAACAATAAGCAGAATGCATATTTACACCCTGCCTTTGCTGGCTGGGATAAACACCGTCTGCTGACTGAAGTACTGAAACCAGATGTTGCAAGTTTTTGCAATGTATTAACATATGTATCGGAATACTTGGAATGGGTGGGATCTTCATGGCAAGTGTCTGAATACTGATATGTTGAATGTATGTAATAAGTGTGCTTTAGCTCCTGTGTACACATGCCAGAAAAGAGATCCCCAGGTACCCAGAGCTGCAATAAAGCAATGTCAGCTTTCTAAATTATCATTTGGTTTTGAGAGCTTTGTATCTGGATTTTGGTGACATCTCTGTCCTCAACTCAGATACAGTGCTACTACCGACATGAATCAGTTCAGTAGTTCTGATGACCCAGTAGCAAACTTGCCATTATCATAACCAACTGCAAAATTCTTATCTCATTCAGCATCACAATTTTTGTGCTATGTTTTGGCGCTTTGGGGACTGCTATCTTCTCTCAAGAAGAAACTCTGTGAGCTACTAGCTTAAGTACTTTCAAGACCTGCCTGGATGCCTACGTGTGCGACCTACTGTAGGGAACCTGCTTTGGCAGGGGGGTTGGACTCGATGATCTCTGGAGGTCCCTTCCAACCCCTACAATTCTGTGATTCTGTGATTCTGTGAAGTGAAATTGTAGATAAAAGCTATATTTCACTCAAGTGAAGCGTGGGTTTGACTGTAGGGATAATACAATTCTCATATAGCAAAAAATGTAAGTAACATTGTTCTGGAGCAAACTTATGGAGAAGGAAAAGCTAAGACAACTGAGGATAACAAAGCTCTAAAGAACATAAGTCTTAATTACCTGTGCAATCATGTCTGCCGTTTCAGAATAACTGCGACACCGTTTTACATCTGAGTGAGCTAAAAAATCATCTATCAGCCTTATGCCAATGCCGTATCCCCTAAGAAGAGAACAAAGAGAGTTAACATTCAAAACGGGATAGCTTTCCCACCTATCATCCTCTGAATATGTTTCATGTGCTTTCTCCATTAGAAAAATAATAATAATAATAAAGCATACTTCTAAATGAATGGCTTTAAGGACATCAGATTTTGTAGTCTGGATTCTTCTTTCTGCCGTATTTTACAGCACAGTAGGATGTAGTTCATGTAGTTGTATGAGGAACTATGCTCCTTTAAGCATGATATCCCCAGCAAGCAAAGCATAATGTGAATGTTGTCTACATATTCATGCACATATGTGTATTTACATATATAAGAAACTGTATATGTGAGTGTAATATATATAAATACATAAATAATACGCAAATGAAGGCTGATTTTTGTCACTAAAGGATAACATAGGACAGGATTTCTCCATTCCTGCACAATCCTCAGAGTTCATCTCACAGCACCCCTATGAAGAAGAACAAAGCAATTGCCCCTTTCAGTCACAGCTCTTGTGCCTGCATTGGCATGGACTTCAGCAAATATCTACTTCCTTTATCCTCTTATCCTTTAATCTCTGTCTTCATCCTTCCTTCACAATCCCCTTTTTTTCTCTAACATGTTTTCTCTCTTCATCTAATAATTGCAGAATTAATCCAGAAGTGGATATTCAGTATACAGTTTCAGTGCACCCTATCTTTATTTTGTATTTAAAATACTGCAAGTTCAGAGAAACTAGGTAAAAAAGGACAGAAGTTAATGAAATTTTCCATTAAAAAAATATTCATTTCTAGCTCTTACATGTTAACAGAAGTCAGTAGTTACACAGAGTGAATAATAAATATTATCACTTTAATAATTTTTTGGAACAAAACCAAAAGTTTATGCAATTGACAAAAATGTTACAAAAAAAACTGAACAAACTCAGAAATGATCTTAGGGGTTTTCACATGTTCATGCATGTGGATATTTTCAGTTTCTTCCTATATGCTGGAGACCTTACACCTTCAACAAGGCAGGCTGCAGTCAGTGGAGCTTCTTACTGTTTTTTTGTAACACATCTTTGCCAAGAAGCCAAAGAGTGATCTGATGTTCAATGTGATGACAAGACAGAATGTGGATTTGGCAGCATGAGGTTCAAAATTGCAGTATGTTATGCATCAGAAAATGATGAAATTTTTATCACTTAAGTATCAATATCAATAAAGTTGGCAAATAAGTGATCAGCAGTTAGCAAGGTGTACATTAGTGATGCACAAGCCTATTTTCAAATTTTATGCATTAGCTTTGGAAAGTTACAAGCATAATAAATTCACAAGCAGCTACTTGGCAACTATACACTGAAAAACCTTCATCTCACTACAGATTGTGTATGTGCATTTATACAGAGGGAGAGATCAGAATACTTTTCCCATCTGTTATGGATTTGCTGTTCTACAATATTTCTTCCCAAAGCGGGGCTGTTTCTACTGTCACAGTAGTAAAAGTGCTCATATTGCAGCAATGAAACCTGTCAATATTTTATCAAGTCTTTCCGTTTAATGAGAAAAACAAAAAGATTTTGTAGAAATAGGTGTTAGAACAAAACCACGAGGAGCAATACATATCTCTGCATCTTTCAAAAATACCCTTTCCTAATTTCTACTATAGCATCAGAAATAAGTCTGCTTTTGTGGTTTTGTTTCTTTGCTTGTTTATTCTTCTTTTTTTAATGTATGATTTCTGTTAGAGCTGAATGAGGGATTAAAGTCAAATTACGATTTGAGGGATGCTGTCTCTTCAGTCTGTGAATAAATTCCTTTTCTTTATCAGATCAATGATTTTTTGCTAACTTCCATGGACAACTATTGGACTAAGGCCTCGTTGTAAGCTTTTAGATTATGAGTAAAGCATTCATAATCTAATAGAGCACACAACTGAGAGATCTGAATTATACCCTCGAGGAAGGGTATAATGACTAAAGAAGGAGGCTGTCTATTGACTTGAAACACATTTCTAACACCTTGCTGTATGACTACTTTTTAGTGTCCAAGTCGGAAAACCACAGTGCAGCCTAGGTAAGGGGAAGCCAAAGGAAGGCTGTATGAACAGTGAATACATAAATGCATTGTTTAACAGGCAGCCAGAGACTTGCTGATGTCCCACCCCTGGATGTGTTCAAGGTTGGATGAGGACCTGGACAACCTGATCTGGTGCCTGATTTAGTGGCTAACAGCCCTGTCAGCAGGGGATTGAAACTAAATGATCTTTTAGATTTCTTCCAATTCAAGCCTATGATTCTATGTTAACTTGGAAACACGTGTGAAAAGTAAAAAGCTTGAGTAGTTTGAAATGATGTGAATGTGAAGGAGTAGAAAAGAAGAGTTAATATGGAAGTTGAAAATTAGTACACGGAAATAGATGAAATTTAGAAGTCTGTTTCATTAATTAGCTATCAAAGAGTTAACAAAGAACATGTAAACAATCAAAAAAATCCTCACGCTTTTCTTCTGAAATTTAAAGATAATTTCTCACCATAATTCACAAATAAATTATTCCTGTTGTCAGAATACTTAACCTTACCCCCACGTTGTCCATAATCCTTGACAGTGCTGGAACCCACAAGACAGAAGACATATAGCTGAATGATGATATACAGGTGGTCAAACTGCCTTATCAACGAGGCTGAAAATTTAACGCACTACTTACATTTTGTCTAAACAGCTGTTGACATCTTCATCTTTTTCATAGTCCTTACACAGCTGGGCTACCAAAGCCCCATATGTGAGAACAAAAAGTTCTCTGCTCTGCAAGATAAAGTTAGAAATTGAAAATGAAACAAATTATGATCAAATTCCTCACTTTTTTTTCCTTTTTTCTCTATTAAAAGCAAGCAAAAATACAATTTATGTTAATAAAGAAGCTTCTGTCCACTGACATGTAATCACAGATATCTGTGATTTAAGCGTGGCAGAGCCTGACTTGATCATCACTTGAGCCTGTACAGGGATTTTGTTCGTCAGAAAAAGCGTTTGTTGGGATACAGCTAATTTCATCAGATACATTTTTGCATTCTGCAGCACATATAAATGTTGGATTGATAAATGTTGTCAAATGCCATTCAAACATAACAACAAGCATTTATTTGCAGGAAGAGTATACAAGGAATTAAGATATTAGTCCTTTTATAATTAAAAAAAATGTGTACAGTAAATTGCAGTTCTTCCACAAAAATATAATTGGTCTGACTCAGATCATCAGCTGATTTCTGTGCGAAAAATAAGCAAATACAAAAAGTATAATAGGATAATGGATAATGGAAAATTTCTATAATTCAGCACAAGTATAAAGAATAACATTAAACAAAAGAGAAAAGAATCAGTACTGTTGACATTTCTTCTTCTTTACAAGTCTTTACATGTAATCATAGAACACCCGAAGTTGGAAGGGATCCACAAGGACGACAGAATGCAACTTCTGACTCCACACAGAGCCACTTTAACTTATTCTCAATACCAGCTCTCCAAATACCCAGACAGATTCATTGTGATGATATTTCCATCACATATAAGCAAGCAAATAGGCATCGCTGCTAACGTGGCCTGCTTTTGAAGTTTCATATCCTGTTAAACAGAGGGTAAAAGCCTATAATTTCTGAAAAAGATTTGATTACCTAGATTTGGAAACAGTGATTTCTTTTAGAGGATTTATCTGCATTAGGAAATGTAATATCAGTTATCTAACATCATAACTAAATTAATTTCAACCTATATTTGATACATATACAGATTTATGTTTTCCCCTTCATTTAACAAGTTAGCCCCCTTTTCCAAAGTAGACTTAGGCAATCTTTTCTGGCCCAGATTTATGGCCATCATTTTCTTATGCAGTTTCTCTGCAGGCAGATATGGTTGGCATGGGTGTGCTGGCTGGAATGGTATGTCCGGTTCTGGGCTCCTCAGTACAAAAAAGAGAGGAATCTCTTGGAAAAAGTCCAGCAAAGGGCCACAGAGATGATAAAGAGCCTGGAACACATCTCTCACAAGAAAGGCTGAGAGACCTGGGTCTGTTCAGCCTTGAGAAAAGAAGACTGAGAGAGATCTGATCGATGTCTATAAATATTTAAGATGCAGGAGGCAAAGGGATGGAGCCAAACTTGTTTCAGCATTGTGTGGAGATAGGACAAGGGGAAATGGCCACAAAGCATAGAAATTTCCTCGCAAATATGTGTAGGAACTTCTTCACAGTAAGAGTGATAGAGCACTGGAGCAGGCTACCTAGAGTGGCTGTGGAGTCTCCTTCTCTGGAGATATTCAAGACCCACTTGGACACCTACCTGTACAACCTGGTCTAGGGAGCCTGCTTTTGCAATGGGGTTGGACTAGATGATCTCTAGAGGTCCCTTCCAGACCCTACAATTCTGTGATTCTGTGACTGGTCAGAGTGACTAAACATACTGTCATCAAAATTATCTGAATTGTTTCCAACACACTGCTGGACATTACTTACAGTTGATGTTAACAGCAGAACAATTACATCAACTGCTCCATCACTCAGCTGCTACCAGAAAATTGTGACTTTTTTTTTTTTTTTCAAATGAACAGCAAAATGAAGGAAAAACAATGTGATGCTCTGAAAAGTAAATGCAATTTAAAGGAAAATATAAATCACATTGGCAGGAATGAGTTTCACAGCCAAGTCAGATGAAATATTGGCCTATGGCTTGCTTTCCTCAGTAAAGGCATGCCAAATATTCTCTTTTTAAAGTGGCTCCACAGGGTAACTGAGTATACTGGATTGACATTTGGTTTACCTGTCTCCTCACAACATTCCTCTCCTTAATTTGTAATGAGAAAGTAGGCAATTGAAAGTAGTCACCTAAAATTTAGGTGGCTAACATTAAACAAAACAAGTCCTGTGCTTGGTGTGAATGATTTAGCAAGATTGGCTAAAGCATGGGTAACCATTATGAAAAGACAGCGTCTAAGTTTCTCACTACAGAAGATGTAGTTGGTATGGCTCTGTCTCGTGAGCAAGACCATGGAGATGGACAAGGATTCCAGTCACCTATCAAAGGAGTATAGAAAGCACTGGAAGCACTGGGATCCTTAGTTTTCACAGATCTGGAATAAAGTTATCTTCCCTTCTCCCCTAGGTCATGATCCTACAGGATCACATCTATAGCACACTGCTGAACTGACTGTATCTAGTTGGAGTAGTAGTTGGTCTGTAGGTCTGAGAGATTAGGTTGATTGTAATTAAATTCTTGGACAGAAATTAATCCATAAAGGTGCCACAAGCCTGCGGCATGTGGGCATATAAGAAGTGCTTTTTATTTATAGTCAGTGGAAAAAATAATAGTAAATGCCAATGAAAACAATGGAACAGGAAGAACTGCTTGGCAGAAAAACCTTTTCCTGCTCCCACTGCATCAACAACTTGAAGTTTAATAAATGTTTCCATTTTAATGTCACTTGTCAAAATGTCAAGTAGTGTGGAACCGTATCTTAAGGTCACCTTGGTGATAACTCCTGTTTACAATAGCATTACACACTTTGGCAAATTCTCATAAACAATTTTTTAATGCATTAAGTGGACATTATACAGATTCTGTATTGTTCTAGCCTCAACAGGTCAGTGTTGCAATAAGAAAAATGCCTTAGAGAATCATAAGCACAGCACAACATCATAATTGACATTATTAGCCACTCTTTCAGTCTATTGAAGAAATAATCTTTTTATTTGACTTTTTTTTCCCATGAACTAACGTTTGTTGTTGTTGTTGTTGTTGTTGTTGTTGTTTACTTTATTTATTTTTTTCCCAGTGGAGACCTTTATCATCACCATCCGCTAATTCTTCTCTTTTCAGGAATAGCTACAATAATGTCTTGGAGGCTTCTGGAATTTTTCCACTGCCCTAATACATCAAAACTCATCATTAACCACCCAGAAAGCCCTGAGGGTCTAGGTTCCTGAAGAAAGATGTGGGTAGAATTGAACATCCAAACACAAAACAGATTTCATTTTGCACTAAATTTAATGACTATGTAAACACAGAGGCACATAAACTCATCTGACATTTCTATTTTTGACTGATGCTCTCTAAAGTACTTAGTCTTCTGCTTCCGAATATACTCCAGATGGCAGAAACTTTGTGTCCATGTTTTTCTAAGCCTATTTAGATCTTCAGTATTAAGGATCTTTTTTTTTTTTTTTTTAAAAAAAAAAGAAAAGTCAAGTGCTAAGTAAGACAGTAACTTTGTAAAAAATTACTTATCAGCAACCTCATCTCTTTAGTTTGCCATACAGGTGTGTCACAATAACACCTCTAGGCACATTTTCTCTTCAAGACACAAAACTGTTATTTATGCATTGCTCTGTTGTTGGTTTTTGTTCTTGTTGGTTTTGTTTGTTTGTTGGCTGGGTGGGCAAAGGGGCTGAAGGATTATTTGTGGTAAAATATTTCTAAATAGTTATAAATTTTCAACAATAGAAATTCTGAGGAAACTTAGTGCTTGCAGTGTTTAACAATCACAAGCCCCTAAGTTCTCCACAAGAATTATTTTCTTTCTACACACACTCGTAGTACATAGGATTTCCTAACTGACTGCCCGATCTATAGCAAAAGTAAGCCTCACCTTACATAATATCTGCTATAACGAATCCATAGGACATTTAGATCAACTGTTCCTGATGTGGAGACACATTCTGATTGTAATCTAAGGTATAGAAAGCCTCATCTGAGAGCTTGGAGGACCACCTCACTTTTGGCAAATGCTGTGGCTAGAAGCAATTAAGAATATGAGGGATGTCTGGCAAGGACTCCCTAGACTTACTGTCTCCAGTGAGGTACAAAAGAACCACCCTTCTGATCCTAGCAACAAGAACAGTACATTGTATTTCAGGCAGCAAGCCTCTGCTCTAATACTGGAAAACTCATCCCCATCCTTTCTGTACTTTCAAGCTGTTCAGAAATAGTCTGTACAAAACACATCAATACAATAATAGCTCATTCCTTCTCCATGCACAATTGCAGTTGCACACAGCAAAAACATCTTACTATTTTGTGGCTGTCCTGCTTTCTTCCCGGAGGCCGTGACATGTTGCTTGTGTAAAGCTTGACGTATGTGTCAGGTTATACTGTTTCTTCCTCAAACAGCATTTTCTTGTTCCCTCTCCTAAACGTCCCTCTTTTCTTCTCTTCTGCCTTTTGCATGAGATATGCTCACTGCAGTCTGTAGTGCTTCTGATGCTCCTCCTATTCTCCCTCCCTTAGGGAGGTATGAGTCTGGCAGACCCTGTACACAATATAGACTGCTCCATCTGTGAGAATGGATTGTCATCAAATACACATCAAACAGCTACAGGAAGACAAACTGGGCGGCCCCAAGAGATGTGTAGGTCTTATTTTTTTTTAGGTTTCAGTTCATCCTGTCGCTTGTGACAGGTTTTGGTGTTTGGAGAGCTAAGAAACATTCCTTCTTCCCTCAAAGAGTAAAATCATAATTATATGATAATGATAAACAAGGTAATTAAAAATTCATCATTTTCAACTTCAGGAACAATAGTCCTCTACCAGCTGTGACATCTTTAGTCTAGTGAGTTAATATCTGCCTAGGCAGGAGTGACACAGGTTACAAGTGATACTGTCACTGTGGTTCTGAGGATGCAGAGCTGGTGGGATGGAGCTAGAGCACCCAGATTTGCAAAGCAGTAAGCTGAATACATGCAACAGCTGCCAGTTTTGGCAAATGGCACTTTCATTACCAATGTTTCTAGTGGATTTTATATCGTTCTTAGCTTGCTATTACCTCCGCATGTAAACATCTCCATTACAAGCATCCAGGAAGGTTTGGTTTTCTTCTCCTGTTTTCACCTAAGGTAAATTTCTCCTTTTTTTGTTAGTTTGGGTTTGGCACATATCTACTCTACAGTCACTAGTGAATTTAGAAATTAATCTGGTAAAGATATGCAGCCTGATCTGAATATCATGCAGTTATGAGATTCTAATTCACTTGTAGATGTAGAGCTAGGGTAGAATTGCAGGTATGTATTACTCCAGATGCACAGAAAGCTCATTTGGGGTAAATGGGATTAATTCTTTTTATTTATTTATTTATTTATTTTAATGGTAGTTTCAAATAATGACATAAGCCAACAACAAAAATTAGGACAAATATAAGCCATTTTTTAGCCTCTCCTTTGAAACACAGCCATTCTAGCAGCTTTCATTTTACCCAGAACAAGATGGTGTTGACAACTGTATGTACCATTTTTTCTAGGCACTTTTCTGACCCTGTAAAAGCTGACTCCATTTTCTAAGTGAAAATATTGTAGGTACTTTCCATATCTAATTGTAAGTAAATTATAAAAGTCAGCATTAAAATTCTCTAGATAATCACTTGCATTTCTAAATGGAGTCTGAGATGGATTTGTTTCCCAGATTGTCTCCAACTGGCCACAAGCATCGAGCACGTCTCTTATTGCAAGAGATGTTCCACATTCTGTAGGAAAATGTACTGCATAGCGTTTAAAAAAACAGCCCTAAAAGATTATCATTAGCATAAATTATCTGCAGTGAAACCATCACAAAGCACTTAAGGCTGCCCATAAGTGAACACCATTTTATTTATCCAGTTCTGAGTATAAGGATGAATTATTTTAGCCTACATTATTAATACTAAAATCATGAAGGAACACTGCAGAGCAGAAAGTGAAATATGTGATACATGCATACAGGTACATCTGTAACTTCTCACAGATAATGAGATCTATTAGAGAGCATATGTTATGTTTTGAAAGGTTGCACACACTACAGAAGATGAAGCTTCAATGCTGTGTCCGAATAAACTTGAAATTAAATTATTCCAGAGAGTTGAGTCAATGGTGGATTGAAACCACATCTTCAGAATCTGGAGAAAACTACCTCACGATTTTTAACTGCTGTCTAATTTTGCATCCCCATGTAAAGTATAGAGACTGGCACATACCTGGCAGCTGTTTTTTTAAGACTTAGCATAGACTTATCAGAATATATCCAAGGCAATTTGAACAGTGAGGAAGTCAGTATGACCCTCTACCTCCCTTTTACATTTGTCAGGAGAGGATTTTTGCCCTCCGCCCCAAGAACTTGGTGTGAGGCACATTGCTTGAGTGCCATAACAGTTCCCTCCCTTCCCATTTAACTGAAAATAAATACACACAAACTCCTGAAGTTCAAATGCATGCATAAACATGGGTGCCAGGTCTCTGCCTCATACAGTAGATTGGCTGTTACGGCAAAGCTGAAACCTCTGGAGCTAAGTGTGTGATTTCCTCAGTAGTCCAGTGTCTTTCTCCCAGACAGAAATATTCCAGAGTGCAGAGCAGTATAAAGTTCACTGGTGCACTCAGCATCTTAAAAAGTTATTTGAACCAAAATAAGAACACATTTCCCACCAAAGACAGGTCCAAATCTGTGCAATATTGGGCTGGGTTTTTTTTTTTTTTTTTTGCTCTTTGTCTTCAACCAGATAAATGTTGTGTTAAATATTTTGCACATAAATTTGATTTCAAACTTTGAGAAGGTAGGTGATGCGGTATTTGGAGCTACATAAAAACAATCAATGCATTTGAGCATGTCTCACTCATCACAACTGAGTGCATTTGCCAGTGTGGCTGCTGCTTCGGCCATGTTTCAGAAGAAAGCAATGCCATTGCTGCCATTTTTCTGTGGTGCCCTATCTGAGAATTTTGAGTATGAGTTGACAGAAATTGCTTTGTTAGCCTACACAGCCCAAGAACAGTTTTCACGTCTTCAGAAGAAGCACCTGATTTTGTTGAGATTCCTGGCAGTGAATTTTAGCTGACAGAGAATCCCGCAAAATGACAAGCTAGAACATGACAAAGCTTTGCCCATGTATTGCTACTTGCCTCAGACATCAGCTTCAAGCATCTCTTTGCCTCAAAGGTGAGCTGGGTGTCACCTGAAGTTGTGGTATCTTGGACTGCATTGAGTCCTAACTCCTCCTGAGAATCAGATAAAGAGACAAGATGTCTACTCAAGACACCAGGTTCCTCTGCAAAGATGACTACTCAAAGGTTTGATGTGCCACTCAAACTCAATTGGATCCAACAATGTAATTTGTTCCACAACAGGATGACCCAGCAGGGTTTTTTCCAGCACAACATGAAAGAAAACATTTAAAAAAAAAAAAAGAAAAAAAAAAAAAAAAGTGGCTTTGCAAAGTTGTTTAATTGATTATATAAATTGCATCACTCAACAGCCTTAGGCTGACTATGAATATTTCAGTATTGTTCACTTCTTCAGTTTCACATCTAATGTTCTTCTGGAGTAAACAAATGTTGTGTGGGAAAACCCTGCTTTCCTGTAAATAAAATGTGTTCCAAAAGAGAGTTTAAAGAGAGTTTAGTAGCAATTATTGGAAATTTGAAAATGAACTGATGTAAAATTAAAGAATGTTATAAAACACAACTTCAATATAATTCTGTGAGAACCACACAAGTTTTTTCTGCTGGACCTGAAGGGTATAAATTTTGACAAAATAAAATATCACTAATTTGAAAGAAAAAAAAAGTACAGAAAATATTGTGTTTCTGAAAAGAATTCAGAAAGTACTAGAATTTGTTATGGTACTACACTGCCCAAAATGCCAAGAGTCCAGAAAAGCAGAGGCAAAGTGCTGCTAAATGTTTAATCATATATCTCTATTACTTTAAGTTTTGTGTAATGGCGTCGCACAGTTTTGTGAGCCAAATGACAGCAAGGGCCTCATTCATATATTAGATAATCAGATGTCCACCCCAAAAATGCACTAAAGGAATAGGGTCTTGCCTTGAAAACAGGAAATCCATCACTGTGGCAACAAGAGTGTTTCTGTTATTCTTGCAGATATCATGGGTGCTAAAACTACATTTTATACTGGAAGTTATTATTAGCAACTCCTCCTCATGGGGATTGAGGAGGCTGTCAGACTCTATCATGCTGCCAAGCACAAGCAAGCTGCATATGATCATCTGTACAACTTTCCTCATAGCCTGTATGGATCTTCTTCCTGTTCTTGGTCAAAATCTTTGTGTTACAGGCAGTTAGACTTCTCAAAACCTAAATCCCCACAAGTACTTGCATATTCAGTACCAAATTGGACTGGAGTGTACAATGGACAGAACTGCCAGACAGCAAGACCCTAGACAAAGTGCAACCTGAAGAAAATCATCACCAGTGACATGTTTTAAATGAATCTGCATTTAAGGCTTGATTTGTAAGAGGTGCTAAGAGCCCAGATCATTCATTTCACTATTTAGAAACCAGCTGTGAAAATGTCTAATTTCTATCTATCTCAGTCCACAGCATGGGATTGATGATACATACATAAATCTGAAAGATGGAAATTGTGAACATACTATATAAATGCTAGCTATTACCACAAGTTCATCTGAAGATGACTTGACAGAGAATAGCAGATTATAGATTGCCAAATAAAATCTTTCTGAAGGAGATAGCGTAAAGGATTGTTCAGTACTTCCAGTAAATGAGACATGGTAGCTTCTTGCCCCTGCAAGTGACACGCTAAAATCCTCAAGGTCCAGCAGCTAACCACATCTTGTATACTGGGAAAGAAAATTGAAACACAAGCAGAATTACTATTAAATGTGAACAGAATTGGGATTCTCAACTCCGTGCATCTTATTTAATATTTTCCATTTTTATTTTAATGTTGAAGCATTTTAAAATATCTCTGCTGCTTTTTCTTTTATCATCAGTCCACTTAGCAAGGGAAAGTTTGTTCATTTTCTTTTTTTTTTAATACAGAATAGTTGAAAACAATCCATTTTACCCTTTTTTTCAGTATTTCTTTTTTCTAACCTCATACCATGCTTCTGCTAATTACCACTGATTGGAAAACAGCTGACCAATTTACCCTGGCAGGATAGATATTAATTTGCTGCTGATGGAGAACAGGCAGAGAGAACTGATTGGTAGCTTCAGCCAATTAGCAATCAGCTGGCAGAGCTCACAGTTCCCTAAATGATGAATGTCCTCAAACTGCTGAGAGAAATTTATTGGATCAGCTAAAACACATGACTGAATATCTTCAAGCAGATAAAAGCTAGTAAACAAGGCTATATCTCTTATTGAGCAATCAGGAGCTAATTAGAGAAGAAAGACTAGCAAGCTTCCTCTTGTTGTGTTA